AATTATCTAAGAGTCCAAACAATTACCAACCCAAATCCTCCGTTCTATACTTTTATTTAAAGAAACTATATGATGCCTGCAGTCTTACAGTTTGAACTGAACACAACTGAACCTGGGCTTTAATCTGCAGATTGAGGACACATACAAGTTCTCCTCATTGTCAGTATATGGACACATACACTGAGCTGCAGAGGCTGCAGTGCTGGGGTTTAGGTAGTGACCGTACAGATCAGAGAGACACATTTTAGGTTTAAAACAAACTGAATTTCAGCTTTGAAACTGGCAACACAAATGAGAGACTCATTTTGCTTTCTGACTGAACCAAAACAACAAATAAATGGGACATCATGTAATGTTTTTTTATAATTTAGAATTAATCAGCATTACAGTTGTTACCAGTAAAAGTCATTTTTGATTTGAACACGTCTGCCTCATAGACATATTCAAATATAGTTAGGCCGTGTTTATGGGATTTAAAATCTAAATCTTACACACAGTTCCTTTCTTCTCTTTCCTCTTAAATTGTCCAGGAGTCTGTGAGAATTCCCCTGAGTATGATGGACAAATCAGTTGATGACATGTACAACGGCTGCAGTGATGCAATGGCTGAAAAGGTCAAGAATGAATACTTCCCCAGAGAGAAGAAGAAGAATGAGTTATTCAAAAAGGCCTGGGAGAATAAAGAAAACACTGCAACTAAAAAATATGAAAAAAGCAACAAGACACTGACCAAAGATCAGATCCAAGCGTTGTTGGTCTACACTGGACAGGCCCCTAAGGTCTATGAACCCTTTAATGCAGTGGTTCGAGACAGTGCAGATAAATATGCCACTAATGAATTCACATACCACGCTTTACACTACTGGCTGACTACTGCTTTACAGAGAACTTAAATCAAATACATGCCGTATCACCTACAGGAGAAGCAAACAAGAATTTACAGGTGAAGTCAATCAAGAAATCCGATTTGGTTATTTTGCCTCCTCTTCGCCCAGTCCCAGTAAGACACAGTTTGGTATCAAAACTTGCTTTCAGATTGAGACTTGTTTAGGTGTGTCCATCAAAGACTATTCGCTCTATAGTAGTGAAGATGAGGTGCTAATCCCTCCCTATGAGAAGTTCAAGATCACTGAAATTGCGAAGGACACTTATCAAAAGCTGAAAAAATGTGAAAAGATCTATGTTCTGAAGAGTACAGGGAGCCAGAGTAACCTCAACTGCAAGGCAACTTAGCAAGACTTTTCTTTTTCATTTTTATGCATTTTTACACTGAACAAACACATGAACTGATCCAAAAAATTCAAGTCTCATAAAAGAGTGAAAAGTCTCATCACTACTGGACGTTCTGGGCAATATTAGTGTGCATGTTTAAAACTTTCTCATAAGTGGAGGGGGTGTGCTCTTAGAAACATATGAAAGTTGTGTCCCACTTAATCTGTACTCTGCACTGAATTCATACAATGTAACAGCAGCTTGCACATATAACACGCCATTAAAACATAAAAAAATAAAAGGCTTATAAAATAATTTTGTCTTTTTTGTCTTAATTTGATGCTTGTTTCATTTACTGAAATAAATAAATAAATAAATACATAAATCATCATCATCACTGTTAGAATAATTGTATATGTTATCCCATATTTTCTATTAATGCTTACTGTTTTTGTGTGAATAATGTTTGGGCTTAAAAACTATGCAGTGACCTGTCACCCACTCTGCACACCGCTAAAACAATGACCTATTCAGCTCTTTTCTGGGAAAGAGCACAGCTCCCAACGTTGGCGGAAAGGAGGGGACATGCTGTTCCCTAAAGATGCTACAAAGTTGCTACACCTTATCGGCCACCTGCTGCTGATATACATATTTGCACAATGAAATCATGTCTAATGTTTCTACTGTTTTTTGCTGTTTTCAACCCCTCCCTTTAGAGAAACATTCATTGTAATTAGGGACCCTCTTATGACAATAAAAAGAGGAGACGCAGAGCGGGTAGAGACTGTAACAGTAAATGCACTCTCTGTCCGCCCTCCTCATGAGAAAACAATGTTACAATGTTTAGGTGGGCTTAAACCTGACAATCACCATATCAGATTCATCGCTACATGAAACATCCTACAGCAGTAAGTTAAAGTTTAAAGCTTTTCATGTTTTTCTAATTATCACTTTGTTTTGTGTTGATATACATAAAGGTAAAGCTTCAGGGATGATTGGCTTTTTCATTTGTGAATCTATTTTTTAAAAAATACTCATCTGAGAACTGAAGTTATAAAAAGGCTTACACAACAAGTAGCACAAAAAAAACACTGAAATTCATCTTGAACACTGCAGTGGAAATGTGAATGTATAAAAACGTGCTATCGTTGTGTGCTCTCATGCAGGTTTTGGTATCAGTTGTGACCACAGCTTGAGTGGAGGAAGAGTGGAGGTGAATGAGTCTCACCAGCAGAAGGAAGCAGAACTGAACAAGTCACATCAGCTGGACTGGAAGATGCAAGAGATGATGTGTGATAGCTCAACACCAACTGATGAAGCTGAAGTGCTAGAAATTATAATGAGGATGAAAAGCTAAATATGTTTTACTCATATGTAGATAAACTATATAAACGTAACACTGACCCAAATCTTCTATTTAAATCAGAACAATTCTCAGTTAATTTAGTTGACAACTGACACAGACATGAAATGTATTCTACTTTGAATTAGACTATTACTATTAGATTATTACTAGAACTAATACTATATAATAGTAGTTTTGGGGAAAGCTATAGCTATTACAAGATAAGTAAAGATATCACCTTATTAAAAAAATTCCACTTCATGACTTTGAAGCCGTAACATTTAATATGGTTGAAATTTGAAAGCTGGTCAACACAAAAACAAAAACAAAAACCTATTCAATCTGTTAATCTAGTGTCATTTCAGAGGAATCCACTTATTTATATCTTCTAAATCATTTCATAAAAAACATACAATGAAACCAATACACTTTAAAAATGTGACTTGTTACTCCACTTCAGCCTCAGAAGCTCAAATCAACGGGATTTAAACTCTTAACAGCGCTTGGGGGTTGTGTGCATGCGCAGTGGCACCAGGGAGCTCAAATCGACAGGAGACCAGTACTGTCCAGTTCTGCAAACTCCTACAAGATTTGGTGGTGGTACACAATCTCAACTGCAAGGCAACAAAACCAAAACTTCAACTTCAACTAGCCTGAAGTACTGAACCTGTTGAAATGAGGAATTAGGGAAATAAGATTGAATTGAAATAAGACTAATGCAAATGTAATTGTTCTGAGCTGTACAATGTTTCTATGAATAAAGAAGAATAAACATATTAACAATGTGCGTGTAATTAATGACAGACTGTAAGACAATCTTTGGGCTCGAGAACGAAAGTTGAGCAAACTAAACCACAGGACAATCTGACGCTGTGTATTTAAATTATATTTAAATAATTCCCCTTGTGGATCAGTACAGTTTGTCTAAGTCTATTACTGTGATGGGATACATTCAGCTCAGACTTCATATATTTAAACAACACTGCAACTAAAACAAACTTTTATTTCAGTGAATATACCTAAGAATCACATACAAGATATCATAGCTCACACCTACAGTATTCATGAATGTTTTTGAGAATTCACTACCTATCCTCCTAAACACTTTAGTGTGGGTTCATCTCATAAGTGAACACAAAGGATGAGTTAAACACTGATGACCTGGTAACACTCATGCCACTCTTCGTTCCTGTTTAATGTAGAAGGTGTTAGAAACGTTATGTTGTTTTTTCACAAGTACAAAATCACACTCACTAATCTTGAAGTTTCATGTATTTTTTGTAAATTGTAGTAGGCTTTTATCTTACAAGTGCTGTGACATTTGCAGTATTTACAGTTTCTTAAGTGATTCCAAAGAAAAGTGCTGCAACTGCAGCAATGAATGTTGTAACTGATAAACGCAAAAGTTCGTGACCCTGACTCTGCCAAAGTAATATGCAGAAGTGTAAGCACAACCAAAGAGTATTCAGTTAATAGATAATCAATATTTATTTAAAACTTAAATATACTAATGCCAATTTGAGCCCATCCACACATTACACAAAGGTAAACCCAAATCCTTTTTTTTATCTGCTCATTTTTGTCACATTAATTTGACTTTATCATTCATAATTCATTTATCATTCAATTTTTCTCCTAAAACTTAAAAAAAAATCTCTTTCAGCTGTCTGAAACATTACACTTATATATTACATATATTTATTAACGTGGAATAGTCTATTTAGACATTCTAAACAGATCTGTCGCTCAGAATTTGGTTGAGACACTTAGTATGAGGGAATTCTTGGTCTGGGTCAAATGTGACCTGAATCGTGTTGTGAAGACTTAAGAAGACTTACGGAATTATAAAGGTTAAGTGAAATAGATACTGTGGAAGATTATAAGGCCGAAGTCCAGGCCAAAGAGAGTCAGATTTATGGAAATGCAAGCCCAGTGCATTGTGGACAAGTTCAAGTTCTTTGCAGCAGCCAAGGATCCACAGATACATGCTGGGTAAATGAGCCAAACAGAGAAGTCTAGAGTGAAGGGCATGAGGGCTCTGGGGGGAATTAGAACATCACTTATGATGACGTGGATCTCTCCGACGTGGTTCAAAAGCCAAGGATCCTGGGAATTATGAAACAGCCAAAGTTTCTCCGGTGTGTCCTGGGTCTCCCCCAAGGCCTTGTGCCGGTGGGACAGGCCCGTTAGTTACACCAGAAGTGTCTGTACTTTCATTTGCTATTTGTGTTGTGTTCATTGTGTTCTTTTTGAAAATGTCTGTGGAGAAAGATTTTACAATGTTAAGCTCCATATAAATAAGCTCTTAAAATGTAAGGCTGATGTTTGTGATGTGGACATTGTAAATAAGGCTGGTGTGATTAAACACTGATGCTCTGAAAACAACGATGTCATTCTTTGTTCCTGTTCAACAAATAAGGAAATGCTGAAAACAGGAACAGTTCAAGTATTTATGCTTTGTCTGGTGATGACTTCTTTTCCAACGGTAAGGATTTTTATTCAGATTATTGTGAAATATGTCTTGGTTTAAGGACAATATTTTATTTCTTTCTAAAATTATCTAAGAGTCCAAACAATTACCAACCCAAATCCTCCGTTCTATACTTTTATTTAAAGAAACTATATGATGCCTGCAGTCTTACAGTTTGAACTGAACACAACTGAACCTGGGCTTTAATCTGCAGATTGAGGACACATACAAGTTCTCCTCATTGTCAGTATATGGACACATACACTGAGCTGCAGAGGCTGCAGTGCTGGGGTTTAGGTAGTGACCGTACAGATCAGAGAGACACATTTTAGGTTTAAAACAAACTGAATTTCAGCTTTGAAACTGGCAACACAAATGAGAGACTCATTTTGCTTTCTGACTGAACCAAAACAACAAATAAATGGGACATCATGTAATGTTTTTTTATAATTTAGAATTAATCAGCATTACAGTTGTTACCAGTAAAAGTCATTTTTGATTTGAACACGTCTGCCTCATAGACATGTTCAAATATAGTTAGGCCATGTTTATGGGATTTAAAATCTAAATCTTACACACAGTTCCTTTCTTCTCTTTCCTCTTAAATTGTCCAGGAGTCTGTGAGAATTCCCCTGAGTATGATGGACAAATCGGTTGATGACAAGTACGACGGCTGCAGTGATGCAATGGCTGAAAAGGTCAAGAATGAATACTTCCCCAGAGAGAAGAAGAAGAATGTGTTATTCAAAAGTGCCTGGGAGAATAAAGAAAATAGTGCAAATAAAAAAATATGAAAAAATTATGGTATGAGTTTAATGATTGAGTTTAATGATTCAAATTCTTAAGATATTTGTGTTGGTTTAAGGATAATATTTAATTTCTTTCTGAAATTACCTAGGAGTCCATACAGTCAATTCCGCTGAGTATGATGGAGAATTCAATTGACGACATGTACGACGGCTGCAAGGAGTCAATGGCTGAAGTCGTCAAGAACGTTTACTTCCCCAGAGAGAACAACATTGACCCATTTAAAAATGCTTGGAAGGTTGCAGGCCCCTTTGCAAAAAAAAAATTAATGACAGACTGTAAGACAATCTTTTGGCTGGAGAATGAAAGTTGAGCAAACTAAACCACAGGACAATCTGAAGCTGAGTATTACTGTTAGGGGATACAGCCAGTCCAGACTTCATATATTAAAGCAAAACTGTAACTTTCTGGAAAACAAACAGCTATTTTCACTGATATAAAAGAATCACCTACAAGATATCACAGCTCGCACCTACATTATTCATGAATGTTTTTGAGGATCCACTATCTATCCTTCTAAACACTTTATAAACCGAAAAGAAAATACACATTTTACACTGCTTATGTACAAAAAAGTAGTCCCACTGAAATAATTGAGTCTCAAATCATCCCCTAATACAACAATTGGGTGTATGTGTCTGGAATTTAAGTATATGAAATCTTCCTCTGCTCATGATCCAAATGTGCGTTAGTTTTGTCCATTAGAGCTTTCATGATACCTCTCGATCGCTGCGATGGACAAAATAAAAAATGTAGGCCCAATAGTAGCCTACTGGCAAAAATATAAAGCTACTTTCAGCCCTGGTAATGACCAAAAGGACAATATCACACATACATGCGGTCAAAATGAGTCCAGCCGGGCGCTTCCATAGAGGTGAGAAAAGTGAGAAGCTAAGTCACACAGGAGGAGCTCGGAATAAAGTCGCTCCTCCACATCGAGAGGAGCAGCTGAGGTGGCTCGGGCATCTGGGAAAACTGAATAAAATGGATCTTCTTCAGATGCTACTGCTGTTTCTAATACCAATACTACCGCCAATACACTCACACACCCGCACACACACACACACACACACACACACACACACACAAGTTCAATCAATCAATCAATCAAAACTTTATTTATAAGGCACTTTTCATACAACAATGTAACACAAAGTGCTTTACACAGATTAAAAACAATCCCACATTTCCATCCACCCACCCACCAACCCAACCCCCCCCCACACACACACACACACACACATTAACCTGCTAAAATACACTGAAAAAAGTGAAACATTGCTGTTGTTCATTCAATATGTTTTTTCCCATTGGTTTAAAGAAAGAAAATCAAATTGGCCGGTACAATTTAAAAAATACACATTCAAGCTTGTGTTTGTATTTATTTTTTCTATGTTCATCTAATTGGCTAAAGCAAATCAACAGTAATTTACAATAGTTAATTGATCCAATGAATGTTCGTTCATTGAGCATGTCTTGCGCATGCGCTGTGCCAAGTCGCTCCACCCAACATAGGGGGCAGCACTGACAACAGCCTCACTTGACTCTGCCCAATAACACAGTAGAATATGACATGTGCGCCATGTGCTCTGGCCTCTGATCATCCCTAGAAACGTGACCGAGACCTCGCCATCCCACTGCCAAGCTTCTCCACGATGAAAGGTAAAAAAAAAAAATACAAAAAACACATTTAGTCTTTAGTCTTACTTAGTATATGTGTCCCATTTGTATGTAAAGAGGCACATAAAGTAAGCTACTTGGAGGTGATAAAAATACAGTACTAGTTAATTTTAATTATGTCTTCTAGATATTTAATTCATTGATTGGGTCATCAGAAGGATAAAAATAGGGTATTTATTTCGACAGCATGCGCGATTTTTACCCTGATGTTTGCTTATGACTAGTGATTAGTTGGATTTTAGATTGGGTCGTTTTGCGCGGCCGCCATTTTGGGCTAACATTAATTCATCGCCAACGCTGGTGAGGTGAACCGGTCCAGCTTTATTTTACACTGTTGTAAACTTGTCAATTTGCGAGTAGTCACCACCAGATTTACGCATTTTGCGCGCTACGGCCAGGTGTAACTTTTAAGCCCAGTGTGGTGGAGGTTTAAGTCCCGGGGTCAAACGACCGGGCAGCGGCTGATAAAGCGGCGAGTGTTCCGTTCCTCCTGAGTGGAAAGGGCCCCTGAATTGTACCCTTTATGAAACTAAATTAGTTAATCTATACACGTATAAATTAACGTGCTCGCTCTCCGCTGCAGCGCGGAGCCCCTCCCCTCGCCCGCTCCCAGGGCTGGGTACAGAAACTCCGGTACTGGTATTGAAATACTAACGTTCTTTCGGTGACAATTTTCCTTGGCTTTAAATGCGAGCGCCAACAAGCCAATAAATACACTGCAGCGATTTCACAGCAGCGAAGGTGCTCGCGCGTCACAGCTGCGCCTTAAACAAACTCAAATGCACAAACGGCACTCATGTCTTAGCGCCGTGTGTCATCTTACATCTTACGTAAAACAGAAGAGATGAAGGAACAGCGTGCCGCATGAAATTTGGATCCACCCGAAAATACATCCAGCCCTTTACAGTTCCTAAAAGTCAAAGTGCGTAATAATAAATCCACATCTATTCAGTCTGTAAAGTCCGCGCAAAATTGAAGCCAAACAGATAACATGAACCAAACTCCTGTGTGGAGCATGCGTCTTCGTAAAGATGCAGCCAGACTCGTAAAGTTGAAACCAAACTGGTAATGAACTAAAACTCCGCCAAAATCCTCCTGGTAAAAGCGCATTTCACAAATGATCCATCCAGCCAAACGAGTCCGTGTGAAGTTCTCCTTGGTCCTCCTCCGTCCAGGTAACGGCGCAGTAGATGCGTAAAATTATTTATCAAAACAACGAGCACGTGCTTCGTGCGCTGCCTTTAATGTAAAGAGGGGTCACGAAGAAAACAAAAGTGAAACTTAAGTGCGTGTATGCTCACACGAGGATCAGCTGTGCGCTCTGGTTCATTTGCATGCACATTTGTATGGAGTTATAACTTAACATCATATAGTAGCCTACTGTTTTAATGTATGAATTACTAAGAAAAATAAGTGTTCTTATGTTTGCAGGCTTCACTGAGTGCCGCACTGGATTTATCTACATGAAGGCAATATGTGATCAAATTGCTGATGATTTTCCTTGGAGACCCTGTTAATGAAATAAGAATCAGGTATGATAACGGTGTATATATAATATACATGTCATGTCTTATAATATCAAACTCCTCACCAATTGGCTGTCTGTAATTGATGCCCCTTTTTTGTGTTAAACATGTGAATGAAGCAAAACTTGCCTTGAAGCCTATTCTGATTCTAAATGCCATTTACACTGGTCCTTTTAGTGAATAAATAGATTTGCAGTGATCTTGTTATTGGGGGAAAAAATGCATAGTCCATTATATTGTAGGGAATATTTTACCAATATACTACATAGCATTAATTATACAACAAAATATTAGTTGATGCAAATTTTAAAATATTAGAAATCATACTGCAAATTCTCAGCTCAGTGTTAAACTGTAGGGATTGTGGAATGTTGTGATGTCACGTGAACCCAACATTTTCAGTTGTCTCAGTCTCTATAGTCATTCAATCTAGCCACATGAAACCAAGAACTGGCACGAAGTTTACATTTATACATCATAAGAAAAGAGATTTCTCTCAAAGGAAATCTGTTTTATATATAGTTATGAAGTCACTTCCCACCATCTGAAATCATTACATAACATTTTAGAATATGATGTATTTTTTTTCAAATTCTTAAAATGCATACAGATGCAGACTGATCATAAGCATTGGAAAATTATATTTTTGTGCTAATCTACTCATGTTTTTCCGGTACAGCAAGAATGCAGTGTGGTGGAGGAAACAATGGCAGTTGTCACAAGTTGTTGCTGGTTGCTATGTAACTACTTGCATATCGCTGTATTCAGTGATGTTCACATTTATGCACTGTTAATAAAAAGTAAAATAATTCAATGTGTTGTGAAATTATTAAGATTATAGGACCACTATAAAATAAAAGTTCAAATAGATTGTATTAATCTATTACATGGTCATTCATTTAATGTAGAATTTAAATTGGCACATAAATGCTAATGAATGTTTTTTAATTGACACAATTAACTTTTGCGTGTTGAGGTAATGGATGTTTTCTTGTTGAACCAATTTATAATTTATTAACTGTTATAATTTAAACTGTTTTAGTTTGACCAATTTATAAATATCATTACGATCAATTAACAATATTTAGATGTAAATGATTTCTATATAAATTATAAGTTAAACCAGTGTTTTATTTTTTTCAGTGTACATAAAACGACACATAGTGAAATGTGAGGGTGAATACAGGCGAACCAGTTGAGAAAGCACCATCAGAGGAGCCGTCTACACCAGGAGCAGAGAGACGTCCACCACCACCAAGGAACCACCACAGGGTCCAGGGGAGAGATGAGGCCCAAGCACCATCCCTCCACCAGGAGCCCACGGGACAGACCCGACAGCTACAGCCGACCCCTGCTCCTGATGCAGAGGGCTCCTACAGAGGAAACACTGGAAATCCTAAAAATAAGTCTAAAATATAATTAAAATGTGTATAATAGAAACAAGTAAAAAAATATGATATTTCATTCAAAAGCTAAGCTAAAAAGGTGGGTCTTGAGCCTACTCTTAAAAACATGAACGTTCTCTGCAGCCCTGAGCTCCTCCGGCAGACAGTTCCATAGACGAGGGCCACAGTACTGAAAAGACGCCTCTCCGTGAGTGTGTGTCCTGACTTTGGGAATGACCAGGAGCTGCTGCCGGAGGAGCGCAGGGTCCGCGAGGGTTCGTAAGGTAAAAGGAGTTCTGAAAGATAAGAAGGCCCAAGACCATTAAGACATTTAAAAACCAGTAAAAGAACTTTAAAATTGATCCTGAAACTCACAGGGAGCCAATGCAGTGATTTTAAAACCAGTGTAATGTGGTCCCGCCCTCTGGTCCTCGTCAGGACACGTGCTGCTGAATTTTGTAGTAATTGTAAACCTGAAATACTCTTTTTGGGAAGACCAGAGAGCAGGGCATTACAGTAGTCTATTCGACTGGTGATAAAAGCATGCATCAGCGTCTTTGTGTTGGCCAGAGAGAGAATGGGGCGGACTCTGGCTATGTTTTTTAAGTGATAGAAACCAATTTTTGTAATGTTCTTAATGTGTGGAATAAAAGTCAGCTCAGAGTCAATAATGACGCCCAAGTTTTTCACTTGTGGAGAAGGGTTAAAAGACTGTGTTTGTAGTTTGGGTAAAAGTTTCTCTCTCTGGGCCTCAGGACCAATGACTAAAACCTCAGTTTTGTCCTGGTTAAGCTGGAGAAAGTTTTCTGCCATCCAGGATTTGATATCTAGAATGCAGTTAAAAAGAGCATCCATTGGTCTGGTGTCATCAGGAGACATGGAGATGTAAAGCTGTGTATCATCTGCGTAGCTGTGGAAGTTAATTCCATGTCTCCTGATGACACCACCAAGAGGGAGCATGTACAAGTTAAAAAGCACAGGGCCTAAAATGGAGCCCTGGGGCACACCACATGTGATTTTATGGACCCTGGAGGAGCATGTGTCTACACTCACCATAAATGTTCTGTCTGTGAGGTAGGATGTGAACCATTTGTGAACAGCACCGGAGAGGCCGAGGTCTTTTAGGCGAGTTAAAAGAATAGTGTGGTCTACTGTGTCAAAGGCAGCGCTCAGATCCAGTAGAACCAACACGGTCACCTTCTGTGAATCATAATTTATTCTAAAATCATTTAAAATCTTTGCCAAGGCGGTCTCGGCGCTGTGGTTCACCCTAAAACCAGACTGAAATTTTTTCCAAAATGTTATGATCATCTAAAAAATAATTTATTTGAACAAAAACAAGTTTTTCTAAAATTTTGCTTAAAAATGGTAGGTTAGACACTGGTCGGTAGTTGTTAAAATCATTAAAATCTAAATTGCTCTTCTTCAGCAGGGGCCTCACCACCGCTGCTTTGAAGGCAGAGGGAAAGACCCCCATCTGAAGAGAGCAATTCATCATGGTTAAAAGCTCATCCCTAAAAGATCCATAAAATGACTTAAAAAATGGGGTAGGAATTGGATCTAAAAGACATGTGGTGGGCCTCACTGAGGAGAAAACTTTATCAAGCATCTCAGCATTAACCAGGACAAAACTGTCCAAGGTTTCCTCTGGTCCAGACAAACACTCAGATGTACTAAAAACAGAGCTTTGACAAGATAAAATATCACATCTGATAGTGTTTATCTTACCCATGAAGTGGTCTGCAAACTGCTCACAGAGAGTCAGTGGGTGTTAAGTAAAACCTGCTAAAATCAGGGTTTAAAATGTTGTTGATGGTTGAAAAAAGAACTTTTGGATTATTTTTGTTATTGGTTATTAAAGTAGAAAAGTAATGGTTCCTTGTGTTTCTTATTGCGTTGTTGTAAGTCCGTTGTTGATCAGTAAATAATTGATAGTTTATTGTAGTTTTGTTTTTTCTCCATCTACGTTCTGCCCTCCTGCACTCTCTCTTGGATTTTTTCAGTTCTTCATTTCTCCATGGGGGTTTTAGCTTAGTTTTGATGTTTTTAGTTTTGAGTGGAGCAACCAGGTCTAGAGCTGACTGTAGTTTACTGTTAAAATTGTCAGTAATAAAATCGCAAGGGGCAGGTAAAACGACTGGGGGATTTTTATTTAAAACTTCGATAAAATTTGCAGCCACTTCAGGGGTCAGACGGCGCTTCCTCACAGTTCTCACAGAGGTCTCCCGCTGTATAAAACCAGTGATGTTAAAAAACACACAGTAGTGGTCAGACACAGCCAAGTCAACAACAGAGGACACACTAGTGGTCAGGCCATAGGTGATGACCAGATCCAGAGTGTGTCCTCTGTTGTGAGTTGGCTGTGTGACGTGCTGAGTAAAATCCATATAATTAAGAACATTTAAAAATTCATTTGCGACAGGATCTAAAAGGTTATCTATGTGTAAGTTAAAATCACCGGTTATAATAATCATATTAAAAGAATTGTGTAATATAGATAAAAACTCAGAAAACTCATTGATAAAAATACTACATTTCTTTGGTGGTCTGTACACTGTGACACATAAAATCTGGGGGTTGCTAAAAACAATTGAGTGGTGTTCAAAAGTTGTAAAATTATTCAATAAAATAGGTTTGGTGGCCAGTGTGTTTGTACAGATAGAAGCAGTGCCACCTCCCCTTTTACCATTCCTGGTTGAAAAAGCAAAGTTAAAAGCAGGTGGTGAGGCCTCTGTGAGAACAGCTGGTGCATCTGTACCCAGCCATGTTTCAGTTAAAAAGAAGCAGTCAAGTTTGTGTTCTAAAATCAAGTCGTTTACAATAAAAGATTTGTTCAGCAGAGAGCGGACATTTAAAAGGGCCATGTTTAAGGTTAATGGTGACAGTGAAACAGGAATTTGTGGTGGATGTGCTTTTTGAAGAGGTCTAAGATTATTGATGTTGGCAGTAGTTTTAAGAGAAGATTTATGCTGATGCCGCTCTCTGCTGATAATAACGGGAATTAACTGTCCTTGAGTATATTGTCATGATTCTGCTAGTGTGAGTTCAATATTATATGAGAGGAGACGGGATCCGGGGATGTTGGGGTGTAGTCGGTCCTTTTTAAAAAGTTCAGGTCTCTTAAAAAATGTGATAAAATTGTCCACGTAGGGGATTTTATTGTCTCTGCAGTATCTTTTGAGCCATATGTGCAATGCTCTTAGACGGCTGAACTTCTCGTCTCCAAAACGAGGTGGTACAAAGGGTCCGGAGATGATACACTGTTTGTCTAAACTGTGGATTGTGGTGATGAGGATTTTGAAATTGTCCTTAAGTATTTCTGACTGCTGCAGTTTGAGATCATTAGTTCCGATATGAATAACTACCGCTGATACTGTGGGGTGATGACGTATGATGGTGGGGGCGGAGTCTATGATGTCCTTCACGAGAGCACCTGGGTGACAGGAGGTGTGGCCTTTTTTAATTCTCACGTGTCGGACCATGGAGGAGCCGAGAACCAGCACGGACGGGTCTGGCCTGGACGCCGGGGCCGAGGGCACCGCAGAGATGTGAGCCGAGCTCCGCGAGGCAGCACGGTCAGGAGCGAGACCATCTCCTCGCTCACGTCGAGCGCTCGGGCTCGACATGCGCGAGGAGGGAACGGAGGCCCCTCTCGGCGCACGCGAGGCGGTCAGGACACGCGCACGCGGAGAGGGGGCCGTAGGTCCCCCCCCGTCACGCCGAGCCGCCGGACCCGGCATGCGCGAGGCGGAATCTCCGGCAGAACCTCCGGGCGGCACCGGGGCCGCAGGGGAAGACCTGGACAGCAACGGAGACTCACTCTCGTGCAGGTTACCCAAGGCAGGTGGCGGTGTGGCCATGGTCATGCCGCGCGCACCGGGACGATCTGATGGTGGAGCCGGGGTGAAGTGCAGCTGGCCCTTGTAGGTTTGGGGCAGCGGGGGAAAATCCACATGGTCGAAGACATTGAATTTATTTGCCATGGATATGGAGGAGCAAGACGGCCGGTTTGCTCGCTTACCTCGCTGTCTGGAGCAACCACGGGGTAGAACAGTCCAGGGATCCGATCGGACTGGAGTAGAGCTCAGCGGGGCTTTAGGTCTAGCCCCACGCTGAAGCCAGTAGTGATCACCTGTACCAGTTGGGACGCCAGGGTCGGGCGGAGAGGGCTGGTGCTCAGGGGCGTCTCCGGAATAGTGGACGGTGTCAGCTAGCTGGGCGCTGTTGGCGGTGGCACGGGTCTTTCCCAGGATGATGTTCTGGTCGCTCTCCAGTCGACTTTCAAACACGGATATACGTTGTTCTAACTCAGCTACCCTCTGACTGAGGACGTGGCAGCTGTCACAGCTGGACGTAGAGGTAAGTGGATGCATGGCACCTGTAGCCACGCAGCCGGCTTACGGCGATTTCGCTAGTTGGCTTAATTTCGGGCAATTTCGGAATAAGGTTATAACCAAAGTCAATAAGTGCCTCGATATTTCTTATTCCCCTCTAAAAGATGCCTTAATTATTGGTAAAAACGAATTGTTTGGGAATCGATCGAGCTAGCGTAAACAGACGCCGACGCATGCGTTAGATCTAGTTGTGTAGATACAAGACAAGATAACCACCCACTTCAAAGACAGCAGAGATGCAAAGAGTCTATGGCTGGACATCCAGATTATCACGGGACTACAAGCCAGTGCCACTGAGCAGCGAGAGCAGCACCTCTGTTCCATGACCTGAACAACACCCATCCATAGAAAACCACACCCCCTCTCCACAACCAAACTCTATGCCTGTCTGCCACCAGCTTGAAGAAGACACTCACCGCCATCAACCCACGCAAAGCAGCAGGTCCAGACAACATCCCAGGCAGTGTGCTGAAAGAATGTGCAGAGGAGCTAAAGGATGTCTTTACAGAATCTTCAACATCTCTTTGGAGGAAGTCATTGTCCCATCTTGCTTCAAAGCCGCCACCATCATACATGTGCCAAAGAAACCATCCCCATCCTGCTTCTATGACTACCGCCCTGTGGCAGTGATGCTCATCATCATGAAGTGTCATGTCTCACATTAAATCCACCCTGGACCCCTTCCAATTCGCATCCCAAGTAGGGGTGGGCGATATATCGATATTTTAAATATATCGAGATAGTTTTTAAACTCGATATGAATTCTGACATATCGTATATATCGATATAATTCTTATATTCAATTTTGATTTCAGCCGCTTCGCTTGTTTATCTTCTCTCTCGTCGCCTCCGCGCGCCCCGCCTCCCTGAGTTTGTTCGCTCATGTCTCCTTCACTCCTCACTACCACCGCGAACGCCCAAAGTTGGTGCCAGTGAAAAGCTTCAAGCACCACGAACCTTTGCCACCATTTACAGACAAAACCATCAGCAGCACATCCTCATATTCCACCGAGTCGCGTCCTTTAGTCCAAAAGAAGCTAAAAGAGCAGAGCTGCGTGAGAAGTGCGCTGTTTATGCAAATGAGCCATGCGCTTAAGTTTCGTTTCTGTGAAATGTAAACACACGTGCGCAAAACTGCATTAAACACATTATTATCACAAACGGGGTGATGTGGCTCTATAGTCGTTATGCTTTATATTTTATAAAGTTTAGCAATGTAAAGTTTATTTATACAGAATATTTTAATTAATAATCTGCTGCAGTGTCACTTGTACAATAGTGTTTGGAAACGTTGGGTTTGATCTGCAGTGGATTGTGGGATTAAACCTCAGAGCTCCTTACTGCTGCATAGAAACATGGATCTGTTAAAATAAGGAACATCCTGAGCTTCTTCTGCTAAATGAGCTCATGGTTATGGTTCTGGTTTGGATAACAGAGTTAATGCAAAGATGAGCTTGTGTTGAGTTGTTTTATTTTATGAATGAAAAGAAGGAAAAATGTATTATTTCTTTTATTTTACAGTTAAATTATTATTTATGTAATTAGGGTTTTTTGTAATCTTAAATGTTCCTATATGAACTGCCGACCTCTTACACTTCAATAAAAAAAAAAGACCTGGTGGAATTGGCATATTTGTTTTTGCAGTTTTCAGTTTTAGGGGGTTATTTTTTCTTGAACATATATCGAGATATATATCGTATATTGAGATATAGCAAAATATATCGAGATATATTTTTTGATCCATATCGCCCAGCCCTAATCCCAAGCCAAATGTTCTACACAGAGGATGCGATGTGCTCTGCCCTCCACCACCCCTCACCCATCTGAACAATAAGGACTCATATGTGACAATGCTGTTTATAGACTTCAGTTCAGCATTCTACACCGAAATACCACAGTAACTCATCAGCATACTTGACAAACTGGGCTTCAGCACCTCCCTCTGCAACTGGCTGCTAGGCTTCCTCAGCCAGAGACCACATGCAGTACGTTTTGGCAACAATACCTCAAGCACCATCACTCTGAGCACGGGTGCTCCTCCTCAGACCTCTGCTCTTCATCTGCTGACACATGCCTGCACAACAACTTGCAGCACCAACCACCTTGTGAAGTTCGTGGATGACACAACTCTGGTGGGTCTCATCACCAAGGGCGACGAGACTCACTACAGGCGAGAGGAAGACCTTCTGACCATGTGGTGCAGAGACAACAACCTCCAGCTGAAAGTCAGCAAGACTAAGGAGATTGTTGTCGACTTCCACAGAGGCTAGACCCAACAGCTGCCACTGACCATCGACAGTGCTGCTGTGGAGAGAGTGAGCAGCACTAAATTCCAAAGGGGGTGAAGAAAGACCAGCAGTGCCTCTTCTTCCTGCGAAAACTCAAGTGGGCTAATGCCTCACCATGATCATGATCACATTCTCCTGAGGAACCATCGAGAGCATCCTTTCCAGCTGCATCACTGTGTGGGACGGAAGCCGCACTGACCACGACAGGAGAGACCTGCAGTGCAGAGTGAACACAGTTGCCTCACCCACATACACACCACCTGCCTCAGCCACAAAGCCATCACATTTGTGAGCGATACAAGTTACCCAGCACATAATCTATTCACCCTCCTGCCCTCTGGGAGGAGGTAGAGGAGCCTCTGTTCCCACACCACCAGAATCACTAACAGCTTCATTCACCAGGCTGTTAGGATGATGAACTCTCTCCCCTCTCTAACCATCAGGCAGCCAGGAAGCAGAAATCTTCCTCTCCCCAAAGAAGAACACTTGGTCTTCTCTATTTATTATTATTATTAGTAGTATGAGTATTATTATTTAATTAGAAGACTGGGAGTGAGGAATACAATTTCAGTTCTTCATATGTTTTTATATGGAAACTGACAATAAACTGAATTGAATTCAGATCAGGTAATAGGTGTACAAATCAAGTTTCAGAATCACAAATAGAGTTATACACACTTCTTATTAAAGGTAAAACAAATTAAGAATGTACAAATCTTTGTAACAATAATGCTAAACAGGATTTAATAAAACATAAGAATTATGAGTAAATTGGTGCTCTCAGTCTGTCTCCATTATATACACTGCTCTGAAATAGTTGAATTGTTCCTGTTTTCATTCATCTGGTTGGGTTTTGTACTTGGAGAAAACACAATAGATCCTGGTACAACTATAATTTTCTACATTAAACATTCACACGTGTATGACACTGCTGGTGTAAATTGTCTGACCAGTTACAAAGGAAAGCATTACCTGCGCGTGTGCTGCTCATGTGCTGTTGCACTACACACCCCTGGGAATGTTTTGATCCAGCAGAAGGCAGCAGTGTGGAGTATTTGCACATGGAGCTGTCCGAGGTTCTGAAATGAGACTTGACTTTGGATGGGGCAAAGTCACATGACTGCAGATGTGGTAATGTCAGAAATGGTCTTACTGAATTGAATGGAGTTACACAAAAGCTGAGTTTTTGGTGATGGGGCGATAGATATGGCGGTAATGATGATTTATTATTAGGAAATGAATTAAATGAAACTGCAAATTAAGACAAGAAAAAAAACAACCTTTTATTTCTAAGCTTTTTTATTTATTTATTTATTTTTGTTTTGTTTTGGTTTTTAATGGCATGTTATATGTGGAAGTTTCTGTTACACACACTTAGATTTAGACATTTTTGACCATTGTTTGTGTTAATGTAGTAAAAAAGCACTTGACAATGTTATTAAAACACAATATACACAGTTATAGCAAAAAGATTTGTGTTTTGTTCCACTTTAAATTTACTCTCATGAAAGTAAATGAAAACAAACTGAAGAAAAAAAGAGTAAAGATGTAACACTGAGTTTATTTCATATGATTTGAATAGTGCACCCCTTTCACCTATTAAAAAGTTTTTAAAAAGCATCTGCTTAAAAAAAAAAAAAAAGAAAGAAACTGGTTCCAGCTAACTCCTGTACAAACATTATGCTGACAGTCAGGAAAAAAAATTTCGAACTGAGTTAAAAATATTTTCAATTTCTTTTCTTATGTTATTGAACAACTTTTTCATATATGCGGCCTTGCAGTTGAGTTTAGTCTTGGTCCCCACATGCTTCAGAACAAAGATCTTTTTACAGTCTTCCAATCGTTGATAGGAGCAGTGCTTAATATCAATGATCTTGAACTTCTCATAGGGAGGGATTAACACCTCATCCTCATTACTAAAGCACGAATATTCATTGATGGGAGCACCTAAGCAGGTCTCAATTTGAAAGCAAGTCTCGTCACCAAATTCTACCACATCGGGCCTGAGTGAAGAGGAGGCAAATTGACCAAAACGTATTTCTTGGTTGAGCTGACCTGTAAATGTATGTTCGCTTCTCCTGTAGGTGGTACGGCATATTTTGTTATTATTAAGTGTCTGTAAAGCAGAAACGAGCCAGTAGTATAAAGCGTGATATTTGAAAGAATTAGAGACGTATTTGTCAGCACTGACTCGAACCGCAGCGTTAAACTCTCCATAGACGTCATCTCCAGTGTAGACGCCTAAAGCATGGACCTGATCTTTGGTCAGGGCCATGTTCGTTCTTCTGTTGTATTTGTTATTTGCACAAGACTCCATTTTATTCCACGCCTCTTTGAATAGCTGATTCTTCTTCATTTCTCTGGGGAAGTAAGTATGATTGACCCTTTCAGCCATTGCCTCACTGCAGCCGTCGTACATGTCGTCAACCGATTTGTCCATCATACTCAGGGGAATTGAGAAAGACTCCTAAGCAAGGCAAGGCAAGGCAAGTTCATTTGTATAGCACAATTCATACACAAAGTAATTCAAAGTGCTTTACAGAATAAGAAATACATTAAAATCACACTAAAAATAAATCAAAACATCATAAAATTTAAGATTAAAAATTTAAAAAGAGAGATAGACATTAATTACATAAATGAGAGAGAAGAGTGCGGAATGAAAACTTTTCAGTCATATGCACAGTTAAACAGAACCGTTTTGAGCCCGTATTTAAACAGAGTCAAAGTAGAGGCCTGTTTCATATGTTAAGGAAAACAATTTAAGAGCAAAGAGATCAAATCAATTATAATCTTTAAACCGAGATATCTGAGAATATTTATATTGAATTCCATAAACATGACCTAACTGTAACTGGACATGTTCAACCCAAACACAACTTTTACTGAACAACTGTAATGATTCATTCTTAATTACAATCAAACTGGACATCATGTTTTGGTTTTCAAGATGGTTACACAATCAGAAAGTGGAATGAGTGTCTCATTTGTGTTGCCAGTTTCAATGCTGAAATCCAATTTGTTTTAAAACCTAAAATGTGTCTCTCTGATCTGAACGGTCACTACCTAAACCCCAGCACTGCAGCCTCTGCAGCTCAGTGTATGTGTCCATATACTGACAATGAGGAGAACTTGTATGTGTCCTCAATCTGCAGATTAAAGCCCAGGTTCAGTTGTGTTCAGTTCAAACTGTAAGACTGCAGACAACATATAGTTTCTTTAAATAAAAGTATAGAATAAAACAGAGGCTTTTGCTTAAATTGTCCGGAGTCCTTGATCATTTTAAAAAGAAATAAAACAAGCTAAATGTCTTAAGAGTTTGAATCAGAAACCCTTACCATTGAAAAAGAAGTCATCACCAAACAAAGCATCAAAGCCAGCACTGTGGTCTCCATGTTTGTGAACTAAAGCAGGAAGAATAAAGCAAAATAACATATCTGGGTTATAGAGTAAACTTGCTGTTGTTACCTCATGTCCAGTCTGGTCTCTGTCTGCAGGTCACCACTGCTCTGCCCTTAAATACACAAGACCATGATGGGGTTTTGAATTTGGAAAAAAACCAAAAAAAACATTTACATAGTACTGTTCCTCCTACGTTTTCGTAGTACTGTCAGAACATCTGACCCCAGACTTTGTGCTAGTTTCACTTATGTTATTTCAGCACAAAGAAAAAAAAAATGAAAGCAATCTTTCCTTCTGCATTTGACCATGGAGATACTTTGTGTAACTATGTACTTCCTGTTTCCATTCCACAAAAGCTGGACTGTGTATCGTGCATTGCTGCATCTCTATATCATTCATTACACTGAAGAAAGCATTAGTACAACCTTCCAAAGGAGTCTGGCACAGTTTGGACTTGGGACCTGCTCGAACTCCATGTACCAGGACACGGCATCTTTGTGAGCTGCCAGACACACAGCAATGCTGTTGTCACAGTTTAGGGCACAAAGCAGCACACAGTAAGGCTCAATAGAGCAAGGGACTGATTCACTCCACCCAGGAACCTGTGTGACCAGTGGACTTCTGCGTTGTTTTGCAGTGCTTGTGGAGCTGTTAAGGATCAAAATAATTCGCTTTTATGGTAAAAGCATGAAACTTTGCCAGATTACTGACTAATTTACTTACACCCTCAGGACTAATATTTCTGAATATGGAACCAAGTTTAATTTAACACTGGAGCTGAGAACTGCTCATATCACAAAATAGATAACATGAAAACGAGGAAACTAGCATAAAAAATACTCCATTCTTACAATCGAAGTTGTGCAGGTTCATAAAGTTAAATGAATAAAATATTTTATCTTTCAAAGATTGAGTTTGTTCTGTCCTTTGTGTTGTGAAGTGTCTGAGTTACACAATTTCAAACAAATTTATTATTATTATGATTATTATTATTATGATTATTATTATTATTAATTATTAGGGATGTTACAATAACCGAAATATCGTGATATCGTATCATTAGAGTTATAATAATATCATGGATCATCACAATACATCGAATTACAAGTCTCCTTGCTTAAATTAAAAGTTATGGTGCAGCAGTAGCTAAAAAAAGACAGATGGAACTACATAGACCATGATCCTTTGCTCCATTTCAGCGCAGACTACAAGAAGAAATAACAGTTCTTCTTGTCTTGTCTTGTCAAGACATTTTAAGAGGAAAAAGTAGCATATTAACCGTTTTGTTATCCTCCAAAAATATCGCAATAACTATCATACTATGAGATGTATATCGTGAAAATATCGTTCTGAGAGATTTGGATATTGTTACATCCCTAATCGTGAGTCTCCCTAACATATCGTGAGCTTTCCCACGATATAAGTATCATACCGTGAGGTTCATACTGTGACGATATCGTATCATTAGACTTGGATATTGTTACACCCCTATTAATTATATGAGTTCTGGTGTGCAGCCAGGGAAGTTTCAGTTAAAGGGACAGTCTGAAATTTTGGAGATAGGATGTCATTTCCTAGTGAGCCAGAGTGTTGGAGACGTGTGGAGACACTTTTTAAAATATTCCATCCAGTCCTTGTATTTGCAGAGGTTGTTGGTGCTAGACTAGTGCACGTCAATGTCCAATCCACAAAACACCCGAAGTAAATCTATTATTACACCAGGTTGTCTATGTAAATGTCTGTGTGTAGGATCGTATTTACGATAAGGCCGGTATGGTTAAACACTGATTCTCTGACAACAATTTAATTCTTTGATGATTGAGTTTTTCATTTGTGAAGTTTGTTCTTGAAAAATTCCACATTTTGCATTATTATTATATTTAATTTATATTTTTATAAAAAACAGTAAATTTCAATTACTCTTACTCTGTCCAACAGAAAAGCTTTGATCTGACTGTGGAAGTGAGGAGGTTTGAGTCGGCTGATCAGAGTCTGCAGGACGGGTGGAGGGGCTGGAGGAGGTCAGTGAGGTGTGGAGGGGTCTGGTTATGGAGGCCCATGATGTGCTTATGACTTGAGTCTAAACAAAACCAGTTGGGTTGACAACAGAACAGAAGAGTCTATGATGGAGTATGTGAATTTTTTTCCCAAGACTGAGATATTTTTTGCTTCCTTTCTTTCTTAGAAGCTGGGGTTCATCAGACGCTTCTGCTTTCTCAGAGTCACATACTAAAACGCTGATTCTGCCAATATCACTTCACGTTGTATTTATTTTTTACCATAGCACTGTTTTCATTTCTGTGTTTTTAAAGGCCGACAATTTCACCCCAAACACTGTTCTCTGATCAGTGTAAATGTTTTTGTTTTCCAAAACCCAATAAATATGGCTTTGAAAGATAACATATTTTATGAATTTAACTTTATGAACCCGCACAACCCTTACATTCTCAAGGAAAACTGTCACGTTCCCTCCTTAATGCTTTGGAGTTTAGAAAAAAATAGTTGTTCAGCTTTACAAAATTGATAACTAATCAAATTCGATAAGAAAGGGATCATGCAGTGTTTTTATGACAGCCTCGTTTTCATGTCATCTATTTTGTGATATGAGCAGTTCTCAGCTCCAGTGTTAAATTAAACTTGGTTTCATATCCAGAAATATTAGTCCTGACAGTGTAAGTAAGTAAGTTAGTAATCTGGCAAAGTTTCATGCTTGTACCATAAAAGCAAATTATTTTGGTTATGAGCTCCACTTTGGCCTTGCCCCCGTATAAATTCAGGGTCTGACCGTTTCCTCTTCACTTTGCAAATCTCTTATTGGAAGAGGTCAGTCATCTGTTGTAATCCTGTGATTTAAGTGTCCTTTTGTTATTATTCTGCCTTTATTCACATTCTGATTACCATTGTTTAATTAATTCATATGAAGATGTCTGGTGAGATGCTGACTGTCCATTGTCTTCTCCCCTGTAGTTTGGGCTGAACCGCAGACTGGACTGAGTAGAGGCACATGTTGATTATGTTTTTCTTATATGAACCAGATTAAACAGAGAGTGCCTCCAAAAGTTCCCGCTGTGTCCTTTGGCGCCTTAACACACCACAAGCAAAGCAAAACAATGCAGAAATCACTGGTCACACAGGTTCCTGGGTGGAGTGAATCAGTCCCTTGCACACAGTAAGGCTCCCTTGAGCCTTACTGTGTGCTGCTTTGTGCCCTAAACTGTGACAACAGCATTGCTGTGTGTCTGGCAGCTCACAAAGGTTCCATGTCCTGGTACATGGAGTTCAAGCAGGTCCCAAGTCCAAACTGTGCCAGACTCCTTTGGAAGGTTGTACCTTGAGAAGTCTGCCCTCTACCGCCCTGTACAGGAAACAAGGCTTAATTCTAATCAACAATACACAAATTTGTGCTTTAATCAGAACAATAGTGATGTAAAAATACATTCATATGTAATTATTTTATGGTCTGATTAAGTGCTGCCCGTTAAGATGCAGAAATCCACTTCTTCCACCAATCTGGAGCTTTGTAAATCTAGTAAAAGGCTCAGGCTTCCTTCTGTCTTTGATAATGTGTACATCTTGGTGCGCAACAATAATCCACAATCTCTGAAACAATACAGTTTGTTCATGGTGGCCCATGCATGGCCAACTCCGTTAGTGGGACTATAGCCGGGTGGTACAGTAGCCTAATGAAATCCTGCAGTGAATGCACTTCATTTCTTTGTACTGAAATAACCAAGAGAAACTAGCACAAAGGCTGGTGTCAGTAAACACTGATGCTTTGACAGTACCACGTAAATGTGTGTGTGTGTGTTTTGTTTTGTTTTGTTTTTCTTTCAAGTGCAAAACCCCATCATGGTCTTGTGTATTTAAGGACAGAGCAGTGGTGACCTGCAGACAGAGACCAGACTGGACCTGAGGTAACAACATCAAGTTGATTCTTATACTCAGATATGTTGTTTTACATTATTCTTTGTGCTTTAGTTCACAGACATGGAGACCACAGTGCTGGCTTTGATGCTTTGTCTGGTGATGACTTATTTTCCAACGGAAAGGGTTTTTGATTCAAGCTCTTAAGATATTTGGCTTATTTAATTTTTTTCTAATTTAGCCAATGGACAATTTAACCAAAATCCTCTGTTTTATTCTGTATTTGTATTGAAAGAAATTGTATGTTTCTGTAAGGCTTTAATCTGCAGATTGAGGACAAGTTCTCCTCATTGTCAGTATATGGACACATACACTGAGCTGCAGAGGCTGCAGTGCTGGGGTTTATGTAGTGACCGTTCAGATCAGAGAGACACATTTTAGGTTTAAAACAAACTGGATTTCAGCTTTGAAACTGGCAACACAAATCAGAGATCTTTCTGATTGTGTAATCATCTTTAGAACCAAAACATGATGTCCAATTTGGTTGTAATTAAGAATGAATCATTTCAGTTGTGCAGTAAAAGTTGTGTTTTTGCTTGAACATGTCCAGTTACAGTTAGGTCATGTTTATGGAATTCAATATAAAAATTCTCAGATATCACAGTTTAAGAATTATAATTTATTTGATCTGTTTGCTCTTAAATTGTCCAGGAGTCTGACATAATTCCCGTGAATATGATGGACAAATCGGTTCACGACATGTACGACGGCTGCAGTGAGACAATGGATGAAAAGGTCAAGAATGAATCCTTCCCCAGAGAGATGAAGAATAATGAGTTATTCAAAAATATGTGGAAGAAAACAGAGTCTTGTGCAAATGACAAATAAAACAAAAGAAAGGACAAGGCCTTGACCAAAGATCAGGTCCAGGCTTTAAGCGTCTACACTGGAAATGACGTCTATGTAGAGTTTCACGCAGCTGTTCGAGTCAGTGCAGACAAATATACCACTAATGAATTCAAATATCATGCTTTACACTACTGGCTCATTTCTGCTTTACAGACACTAAATATTAACAAAATATGTCGTATCACTTACAGGAGAACCCGAGATACATTTACAGGTCAGCTCCCATCAAAGAATATTCGTGCTTTAGTGATGAGGATGAGGTGTTAATCCAGGGATGGGCAAACTACGGCCCGGGGGCCATATGCGGCCCTTTAAACCTTTTAATCCGGCCCGCCGAATT